CTATTTTTACTAAAATAGACCTTGCTGGCTTGTCATTTTTGTATAGGATGTTATACATGTCCAAATGGTATAAAATTTTCACAGTAGTCTATTGTGAGCACTAGAAAGCTACTCTAATTTTATGAAAATTTATTGTGCACATTTGGTATGTGTTTGTTATTTCCCCTAATTATCTAATTAAATTAATAAATGTATTTAAATAAATAAATTGTGCTTGACCATGATGTTTTCTATGGTGATGGTGATGCATATGAACTGTGGGTATTCATAGTAAGGCTTAGAATCAATTGGTTGTATGTAACTAATTAATTATCACTTTATAATTCAAATAAAGGGATGCATGTATAGTTTCGGTTATGTGGATGATTTTATGTTGATAATGGCCTTTTTCTGTAAAACTTATTAATAACAAAGTTGTAGATAACTTACTAATCTACCTTGTGTTAAATTTTAATGGCCATAGGCCTTAGGGTTTAAGAGTTTTGGCTGTTAGAAGTTTGCTGCCCTAATTGTTTGTTCTCTGGACAGATTTGATTGACTGAATTTTTTTACCTAGATAACTATGGAATCACATCAAGAGTATTAAAAGAAAGTTGTAGACAATTTCATAAGCTTTCTAGAATATCTACAATCATATGATTTTGATGCATATAACTCCAGTTATGGTTAAAACAAGTAGCTGCTATTTTGTGGTTCGATAAATGAATTACAGAAGTGTTTGCTGCAGAAGTGTTTGCTTAAGTAATAGAGAAGAGATATGCACCTACTCAGTAGAATATGATGCACTTGTATTACTTTAATACCATACTATTGAAAATACTTACGATGATGTATTCGTCATGTTTTATCGTGTTATACGTGTCATCATACAACATTCGCGATATCTTATGCCATATTCATGCATATAGGATCCATCGAGGAGATAACGTTGCTGGAATTCAACGAAGAAGAAGAAGGGGATCAACAGGAGACTCCTCAAGCCGCAGCTCCAGAAGAAGAGGAGCAGACTCCAGAAGAGCTCCCTGAGTGCCTAAATCACCGCCCTACTTCTTTCCTCAAAGGCAAACCCCGAAACATTATAAGTCTCCCAATGTTTTACAAAATACTACTTAAATCCTTTATGATTGATGCATTAGATTATAAGAGTTGACTAGAAACACTTGATGCATGGAACTACCTTGTCCAGATATATACACTTTTAATCCTATGTAGGTCCAAGATCGAATATATGTTTAGCCATGCTTAGATCGGTAGAAGTTGGGTGATTTCCTGTCACCTGCGAGATATAGGTGGATACTAAAACACGGTTGGCTATATTTGCTATCGTGAAAAAGAACCATGGGGTAATGTAAATGGAGGCCGGGCGGAGTCCATGTGTGGGTTGACTCATGTAATTCCATCTGTGCCGATTAAGGATCATACCGTTGTTGGACCTTTTGACAAGATTGAACGCATGTCTATCACTTAGCTGGCCGAATAACTCGTTCCGCCCGCGAAGCCGAGGAGCTCAACTCAGGTCAGGCCCTGCTCTGTCAAAGTGCGCACTCGGGATGGTAGTAAGGATGTGTAGGGAGCTAGGTGTGAGCCCAAGGGCAGGCCGGCCTTGAACATCCTGGCAGCTGGTTGTCCCTGATTGTGCGGCGCTGGGCAAACCCGCGAAATGTGGACTTGAGTTGTACCAAAGGTTACCTGAGGTGACCGTTGATCTGGTCTACCTGGGTTTGTGTTAGGAATAAATTCCCAGCTGGTTGAAATCGATTCGAATCGCTGTCTCTCCCGGACAGTGAGAAACTTGGCTAGCTTCAACCTCGTAGTAATTGTATTATAGAATATGATGGTTCGGATAAACATGGAATTACTATACCTACTATGATTACTATTGTATGTTATCAAATGATATATTACATGTTTGGCACAGGATAGTTGCTAATCTAGAGATGAATAGCTATAATTAACCTGATGACCAAAGTACAACCGTATAACTGAGTTAATTGCTTTTTATGCAAAATATTGTCAAGCTACCTCCACTTATAAAGTCTTGCATAATCCTTGGAGTCAATTTATTTCTGGTTTATGACGGGTAAGTCTAGCTGAGTATCTTCTCGTACTTAGGGTTTTATTCCCATTGTTGCAGATGGTACCATCTATCATGGCTATGCAAGAACTGCTTCTATCCCGCCGTGGATGAGGAGTGAGCCTTGGGCAGGCATCTTTAATAATCCTTCTATATGCTTTTGTGGATTGTGATCATGAGTTGGCACTGTATTTGCACTATGTGACAAATGCTAGTTTCGAACTTAATTTGCTTCCGCTACTATCTATCAAACTTGGTTTGTAATAACTCTATTTCGTACTCTGATGAATGAACTGTATCTGTGAACTTTATGTAATTTATGTAATATGTGACATGTATGTTGAATTATGTATGATCTTGGTTGTATGTGGATCATTTATCGAGACCCGTTGTGGTACCAAACGGACTACCGGGTTTATATGGGCTCAAGTATGACAGTGCGACCGCTTGCGGGCCGCCATTGTACTTGTGCTATTATAAATTGGTCGGTTCTGCGACAACTTCGAGAAAACATTTGGGACCATTATTGGCAACCTGATTACTTTGGTTCATTAAGTTTAATTCTTACTTTTGTTGTCCCCTTTATAGTATAGATGTTGTGTTTAGATAATAATTTATTTATGTTTAAGGCATCTCCTATGAATTATTGTCGTAGCTAGCAAGTGTTGATAGCCACGACTGACTTACGTATTCTGCCACTTTCGAGATGGTTCTTAAAGCATAGGGCCTTATGTTGGGACTGTCTAACATCCTTCTCATCCCTTTCTACTCCTAGGTTGGTGAAATGGATCTTTGGATGGCTAGAGAGGGATAAATAGTCTAATTTAAAAAAATTATATAAGACACAACATATGCAAACTCGTTAGAAACAAATGAGGACAAGTGTAGAGTGATCAAACCACACAAGAGGATGGCACAAGATATATCTATGTGGTTCGGTGACTTATCGGTCACATGCGTCCGCGTTGAGGCAAGTCAAGGATCATCGATCCTTTACAAACTCAACAACCCCTCGAGGTTGGCTCCGACGTGAACACTTGTCTTCAGTTTGCTCAATCACAATGTGCTTGTCTAAGCCCCGATTCCACTAAAGTTGCTCTTTGCCAACTCTGGCGAGGATGGGCACAAGAGCTCCTCACAATCATCTCCGGAGCACTCACAATCTTCAACTGAGTGCCTCAGCAGAGTCACCGATGCTCCAAGCCATTTAGGCGTGGCGAAAACCACCTAGAGTAATAACAAAACCGTAGCGAACAGGATCACCTAGTGCCACATATGATGCTATCTCTGAAAGTAAATGCACTGGATCACTCCAATCTCACAGAGAATGCAATCACTAGCAAGAAAATATGACTGGAGATGTTTTAGAGACCCAATTCATCAATCCTCCTTTCGGGTCTCCACATCCAAAGATGACACATGTGTGTGCCAATGACCCATGCCCATGATCGATCGGTGAACATGCTCTCATTGTCGCCTAGATTTTAGCGAGGTTGACAGAGATGCCACTTGAACGTGGATGTCACGGGGAAGCAAGGACAATAGGGAAGTACTCCGGATTGGCAACAAGTTCAATGAGCTTGTTGGATAACTTGTGGATGGTCTTTGGCAACGCTTGTTCCTTAGAGTCCGAGTTGATGAAGCTGGCCCGGATGGCAGGGAGGACTTGTGCTCTCCACAAGGCATCTGGTCCTATAAGCTCTCTTCAGGATTTTATAGCTCGGAGCAACAATAATAAGTTGCCATGAGCAAGTTTATAGAACAAAATGTTTGGTCCTTGTTACCATGTGAGAGGTGGTGTAATACGATGCATTATTCCGAGCCCTCCGTGTAGAAACAACCCATAGCGTGACGCTTGCTTGACTTACAAGAAAGAACAAATACAAATCTAGCCTACAAACAACATGGAGCCGTGATAAGTGAAACTGTAAACTGAGACAAATTTACCAAGAGACGAACCACACCACCACACAACATAACAGAGACAAAAAGATTAATGTAACGGAAATAAGTTATTTTAGGGGCAATTTACCAAGCTTTACTGCAACTGCAAAAGTGAAACTTTACTGCAACTGCTACCCATGATTTGCAGGAAATTTTAGTTATTTTTTTTTTCTTAAAAAATAGGGAAATTATGGCACGGTGTGACGTCAATATTGCTGTAAAACCAGCCGCCGTCAATTTCATGACAGGTGTAACAAGGAAAGCTAAACTGATTGCACCAGGCAGTGCAATGCGTAAACAAAGGTGTCTGCGTGGACATGCAGTGCAACGGACACAAACGTCAAAAGAAATTGGGCGAGTTTAACGCGATGCCATGAAGAAAATCACAAGTAAACAAAACGAGAGTCAACACTCAGCAGGCCATCTGCACATGTCGCTTTCCGTCCTATCTGTCGATCCATCTCTTTGATTTCTCTTCCTTCAGCTCCAGTTTCTTCCATCTAAAGAGCTGGGTAGTTAACGCCGCACGGGGAATTAAACGGCTTGCCATTTCCCTGGAGCCGTTCCCCCCAAGGATGTAAATTCTTTCACCACGGAGAGATGAAACTAATAAAATCTCTTTTATCTGAACTACTTGGAAAGGGACATGTGCTCAACCGGATATCTTTGATTTGCTCTGAAATGGTTTTTGCCACAGTGTATGCTAATTTTCCAGGAACAAAACACCATACGGAGACAGCATAAAGACTTGCCATGCAATCGAATGCCACAAAACATATTTAACTCAGTAACCGGGAAATAGTATATTGCATTTCAGAATATTTGAATCGGTAAAAGAGTTATTTGTTCTCTGAAGAACGGAGACATGAATGAATCAACCAAAATACAGAACCGGATTGTAGAAACAGAGCCCCCCCCCCCCAAAAGAATTTTGGCTGGTGTCAGGGAAAGACAACCACAATCTGAACACAACTGACCATTCTTATTCCTCGTCATCCTCCTCGTCGTGGAAGCGCAGGTGCCTCCCCTCCGGCACCGGCAGCCCCCTGAGCATCAACGCGCTAAGCTCCGCCCTCGCCTCAGCTGCGTCCGCCACCTCCTCGCGCTCGATCTCGTCGTCACTGTTGTAGATGAACCTGGTGTGCTTCCCCTCGAACTGCGGCAGCCCGGCCTTCTTCTCCTCTTCATCCAGCACGGTCATCCTGTTCATCTCCTCGCACAGGTCATCGTAGCAGTCGTCGTCGTCGTCGCTGTCTTCTTCCCAGTCCTCCTCTTCTTCTTCTTCAGTGTACTCTGCCGCCAGCTCCTCCACGCCTAGCTCTTCTTCGTCGCCCTTCTCGGAGCTGGCATGGACCTGAATGGACCAGGCAGAGGGGCTGTCGTCCTCAGGTGACGATGAATTGTCCATGTAGCTGCCGGCGCTGCTCTCCTGGAGGGAGACGGATGACGCGACGACTGATCCATTGGATTCGTCAGACTTCTCAGGGGAATCGTCGAACACCAGCGCACGATTCAGCTGGCACTCGCCCAGCTTCTCCTCTGCCTGAGGTGGAGGCAGGGAAGCTGCAATGACCTGCACAACAACGGGAGCAGCAAAACACCTTAGGACCAAATGCAGTAGCGACTAGACAGACAGCTGCAGGAAAATTCAATCATATATCAAGATTACTACTTGCTGCTCGACTAGATGATATACATCAATTTGCAGTTCTGAAAGAGCTAGCATGCCATTGAGATTTGAGAACGGGCTAGATGCAGCTAACAATGCAAGAGACCTGACAATGCAGCATGAAAACACAGAAAATTCAATCATATATCAAGATTACTACTTGCTGCCACGCAGTTTCTACGACAGCCGACACAAGTTGGGAGAACTCTTGAATCAAACTTATCATACAGGTCGTGCAGAATTGCACCTAAACTAACATGTAAGTGCACAAAGAAGGTCAACGAATAAAGATACTAGATGAAATGGTACACAAGTTTCTGCATCAGATTGACAGAAGAACATGCGTTCCCTGATTGAAATTGGAAATCCAACCCTTGAATCAAATTTATCATACAGGTCGTGCAGAATTGCACCTAAACTAACATGTACGTGCACAAAGAAGGTCAACGAATAAAGATACTAGATGAAATGGTACACAAGTTTCTGCATCAGATTGACAGAAGAACATGCGTTCCCTGATTGAAATTGGAAATCCACTACTCATCAGAACAGATATATTGGATCAAATTTCTTCCATGCGTGTCGAATTGTAGACTGTTGCTCCTTGCGGAGTGGAAAATTTTCATCCATTGCTGAATCGACAAGAATCGACAACTACATTACCTGAAGCTTAGGAATCAGCAGTTCCTCTTCGTCGAGGACGCAGGGCACGACAGTGGCGCCATCAAGCTGGAGGAGGCCTTCCCTGGGCGCGGAGACGGGTCCGATCTGCGGCGTGTTGGCCGGCGTGGGCGCAAGAAGCTGGGCCGGGGACATGGAGACGCCGAGCAGCGCCTGGATGCGCGCGGGCCTGACGAGGGCGGCGGCGGCAGCGCAGCCCTGCTCCTCCTCGACCTTGTGCAGGAGCGCCTTGACCTGGCCGCGCAGGAGCGCCTCCCCGGAGCCGGGCGTGCGGCGCGGGGCCCTGCGGCGGGTCTTGGCGGCGGTGGAGGCGGGGGTGGTGTCGGTGGCTTGGAGGCCGCCCGCCGCGAGGCCGACGATGGGGGAGTCGTTGCTGATGTCGTGCAGGGCGGCGCGGGTCTGGGCATGGGTCTCCACCGCGGCGGCCTTCTTGGCCCGGGAGAAGAGGGCGGCGGAGTCTGGCCCGGCGGCGGCGCTCTTCTCTGCGGAGAATCGAAAGTGGGCATTGTCAGGAAACACATCCAAGAAACGCGTAGAGACTGAAGAATCGATCCGGCGATCAAGAAACAGAGAGGCGAGGTTGGGAGAAGAAGAGGACTCACGGGCGGATGCGGCGGCGGCTGCGGCGAGAGAGCGGGTGATCCTCCTGGTGGACAGCGGCGTCTCCATCTCCATCGGTGGGCACTTTCTCGGCGAGGTGAGTGAGAGGCGCGCGTCGCTGGCGAAGCGGAGGCTCGAGGAAAGAGACGACGTGCGAGGGAGCGGGGGTGGAGACGGCGGCGTTGGAGCTCGTGGGGTGGCAGTTTTAAAGTGTTGGGATTGTGGCAGGACAACGGTAATATGACCGTTGACGAGGAGACGGCGAAGGCGGAACGGCGCTGCTGTCCCTCTCCCTCCGTACTAGCGATTTTTTTAGCCATTTTTTTAAAAGTTTTTCATAAATATGTCCCGGTAGGTATGCTTTTAAAATCTGAACCCTTAGCTCGGCACCATCGTTGGTGGCGCCGAGCTTACACGTCTTGGCGCCATAGATTTTGACGCCTAGGTCATGGGCTCGACGCAGACGTGGTGGTGACTTGGCAGTGATCTTGGCGCCGTAGATCTTGGCGCCAAGCTTGGCGCCGTGGTTATTGGCGCCAAGCCTTGTCTTACGTATGGACCATCCCTTCCTTTCTCTCTTTCTCTCTCTACCGCTCCCGAGCCAAGGCGTCGCCAGCGCTGCCGCACCGCCGCGCCCGCCGCCGCACGTAGCCCCGACCGTCTGTGGCCCCAGCCCGCTCGCGCCGCCACGCGGAGCGCCGACCGTCCCACGCGCGCCGCCCTGAGCCGGCCTTCGCCGCCTCGTCCGTCCTTGCTCGCTGCATCCGCCGCGCGCATAGGCGCTCCCTCCGGCGACCCTGGCCGCGACACGGCCCCTGCTCCCAGCGTGCCGTGACCTCGTCGTCGATTCCGTCCTCCGTGTCCCTGTCCTGCTCCGGTCCCGACGTCCGCGTCCGCATCGCATCGTTGCATTGACTTGGACAGGTAAAATATTTGAATATGCAATGTAGGTACTTAGTTAGCTTGAATTGTAGTGCTACTTTGATTATTTAGTAGTTTCTAGTAAATTTGATGATGTAGGTAGTTGATTTAGTTAGTGAGATAGATATAGTTACATAAATATAGTTATATAGCTAGTGACATAGGTACATAGATATAGTTATTAGATAGCTAGTTGATTTAGTTAGTGAGATAAATATAGTTAGATAGGTAGTGACATAGTTATTTAGGGTGTAGTTGGTTAATATCTATTAGAGAGGTACTATATAGCAGCTACTTTGGACTAAACGAATTGTATTTTAATTTTTATTTGAACTACTAGATGGACAACCTAGTAAGCATATATCATGGAGGCACCGTAGAAAGAGATCGCTAAGGATATGTTGAGTTTGTTGAGATGCAAAGCGTGCCTGTGTTATTCAATGAGAAGCCTTCATTTAGTGAGTTGGTTGCAAGGGCTCGGGAGGAGCTACATTGCCTTGGAGCTGATGATGATGATGGCATCGCAGTGGAGGGTGTATTTTACCTGGTTCCCCTCCCAACATCCTAAGGAAGATGATCCTAATTGGGTGTGCAGACCAGTGAGAGAACTATGTGAGATCGGCTATGAAGTGCCAGTTCCAAAGTTTAGGCGTGGTTGTGCGTCGGGTGTTAGTTGATCCCATCCCTCATGGGTTTTCCCCACCAATGGGTCAGCAGGTGTAACACCTTGGGTGTTTTAAATACTAAAACCTGCCATGTCATCATATGCATTGCAAAGCTTTTGGTCTTGGTAAAAACTTTGATATGCATTCACTAAAACAAGTTTACATTTATGTTATAAGTGTTGTCTTGTATGGTTTGGATCAAGTTCAAAGTTTTGTTTGGATTTGGATTTCCAAAAACCCTGATTTCTAGTGATTTGTTTTACCTCAAAAAACCTAATTCAAAATCGAAGTACATTGGGCAGGGCAATGTACTTGGGTGTTTGTATTATGTTCTCGGACCGTGCTGCATGACTGTTGTTCAATGCGATGACGATAAGTAAATGCGTGGCCCTTGGGCAGGGCAATCCATTTGTGTGTTTGTATTATGTTATAATGCCACTCCACTACTACGTTTTGTAATAATTATCAAACTTAGTTGTAAGGTTTGAAACAACTGTTTTGTAAACTATGTTATTGTAAGACTTCCGCTGATTTACTCTGGTATAGATATTTGAATAAATGTTGTAATACTGCAATGACTTTGTAATGTGATCCTGCTCAGAAATCGTGGATGATTCGGGGTTCCCCGAGGACACCCGACAGTCTTCTTAAGTTACCAGGAACATATGCATAGTTGTCAGAGGTCGTCGGACAGTGACATGTGCTTGTGGGCCCTATAATTTAGGAGGTTCTGCCACAGCAGGCACACTTCGACCCTCCCGTCCCAGAACTTGATATGGATGTAGAGGTTGCACCTACGGTTCCCAATGCTCAATCTACCCCCAATGAGCTAGTTGGAGATGCTTGTCAGACTCATGATATTGTGGCAAATCCTCCTCATGAGATCCCTTTGACACAGAATCATCTGAGTAATTGTTTTATCCGCATGGTTATTGAGAGCTTACCCCCTTCCTTACATCCATTTTTTCATTCTTTCCTCTATTTTCTATTTATGTTGCAAGAGACATTCCTGACAATGTGGATGTGCCCACTGTTGCTACGCACGTGCACTGTGGAGATGGATTCTGTGGCTCCAATAGTGTTGAAATTATGAATGATTCGGAGCTATATGAGATGGCAAGGGCTCTTGATTCTAATGATGATCGTCCTATTGGAGAGCTGACAGAGAGTGATGTTGAGATGCTGAGGCATATCTTTCACTGTCGCTGTGATCCAAGAGTTCACGAGTTCAGCAATCTTGCTCATTCCGATCAGACGTGTGTAGAAGGATGTGATGATGAGCTCCTAGAAGCTCCTGAGGCTGGCCCTAACATGGTAATTGAGAAGGGTAGGGTATTCAAGGACCTCCCTGCATTGAAGAGGTGGTTGCAGGCGTTTGCAGTGATACGAAAGAGACCTTACAAGGTCTTGCATTTATATGCGGAGCGCCGTTACACAATTGTGTGTGACAAGGAACACTGCCCATGGAGGGTTTGTGCAAGGAAGCAAACAGTCACCGAAAAGTGAAAGATCACAAAAATTATCGAGCCACATAATTGTGCTCACCATGTGCTGACACTGAAGTATCGATAGTTGACATCTACCCTCATTGCCAAGCGATTGATGGGAATATTGCAGGAAAAACCCAACATGAAGATTAGGACAATTATCAGGACCGTTGAGGCGTTGTATGGAGGTTATATGATAACTTATGGTAAAGCTTGGAGGGCTAAGCAGTGAGCGTGGAAGATGATATATGGGGACTAGGAGGATGGGTATGAGCAGCTGCCAGTACTTTTTAATGCAATCAAAGCGGTGAATCCAGGCATACATTATGAATACATCCCAAAACCAAATGCATGGAAGGTGTGGCAGAACCTCCTAAATTATAGGACCCACATACATTTGTCACTGTCCAAAGACCTTTGACAACAATGCATATGTTCCTGGTAACTTAAGAAGTCTGTCGGGTGTCCTCGGGGAACCCCGAATCATCCACGATTTCCGAGCAGGATCACGTTACAGAGTCATTGTAGTATTACAACAGTTTATTCAAATAGACACATCAGAGTAAAAGTAGCGGAAGACTTACAATAACATAGTTTACAAACCATTTGTTTCAAACCGTACAACTAAGTTCGATATTAATACAAACCAAAGTAGTGGAGCGGCATTATAATATAATACAAAACACACAATGAGGCTGCCCTGCCCAAGGGCCACACAATTACTTCTCAACGCCATCACAAGGTACAACTGTCATGCAGCACGATCCAAAACAGATCTACTCATGAGGCTCACCTGCAACAAGGGTCAATGAACCCTGAGTACAAAAGTACTCAACAAGACTTAACCGAAATAAGAACTGATAACTCAGGAATGCAGGCTCAGGGATTCAAGGTATGGTTTTAGCAATAATCAAAGTTATTTTGCGTAAAAGCTCTTTGACAAAATTCTTTGTTTCAACAGTTTAAACTTCATAAAATCATATACAAAGATGACACGATCCGTAATGAGATCATGAAACTTCATATCCAACATCTTCATCAACCATTCTCAAGTTCTAGTTATTAATTACTACGATGATGAACAGTGAGTTGAGTCTCCATAACCGAGGAGCAACGACGATTCGAACCGATTATAAACCCAGCTGGGGATTCCAGACCACACGACATATGCAGGACCCTGACCTACATATACCAACCTATTCTCGGATCCTCTAAAACAAGAACGGGTCCGCGCCACCCGAGAATACAGTACTCCACCAATCCAGCCCATTGCCATGTGGGTACACGCTATTCCCGCCATCTCTCCACTCCTAGTGCGTGAGTAGCCATTCTCGTAATAGAATTGCCAAGTTCAGGCTTACCGGAGTATGTGGTTAGTACTACAAATTCTCACCTCATGCAATTCAACAACGGACGTGCCTTAATCGACACAGGCGGAAAGATCCCGCTCACAAGACCTCCATGTCTTGTGGCTCACACACCAAAAGTCCGCCTTGGTCTAGATTTATTACTCCACATTCCTATATCACATGCTAACATAATTAACCAATGTTCCATTTAAAACTTGCGGTGGCGGTAGTCATCGACTTCATTGTTCTACGATAGCTAAGCAAAACTAGGCATATACTGAGTTCAAAAGCGGTAATATGGTAAATATGGAATAACAAGGGTGGTAATGCACCAATTAGGCTCTTACTTAACTCTTAATCACTTAATGCAATAACGGAAAGCAAAAGCGAAATTAATTTGTAAAACACAAGGTAGGGTTGTATGCATCCGGGCTTGCCTTCGTTGTGACGGAAAAGTCCGGCCTCTGTGACGTTTCACAAGTCTTCGATCCGACCTCAACAGACAGATCAACCTCCTCCGCAACTTGATTAACTACCACGTGTTCACCTTCGTTTACTACACGTAGTAACATTGCCATGTTTAACATGATGCGGAATATGAAACATGATGCTCGATGATGGATGCAAAATTAATAAATTGGATACAATTTTCC